CGACTTCAGCAAGTAAAGCAAGCCCTACGTGTAAAATAGGAAACTCACAATCAAGTTGCCTCCGTCCTCTGGGAGAATTGCTCCCACCCGGGGTGCAGGGTGCATGGTAGCACTGCGGAGAAACACAGGAAGGATGAAAAAGATTTTGATTCTCCCAGAGGTTTTCTTCACTACCCTATGCTTTCCTCAGCCATTGACTCCTCCTTTCTCCTGATGTTCACATTCTGGACCAACCTTACATGCTTATCAATGTACCTTTTAATCGGTTTATTTACATCCCTTCAACTTCCACACTCTGTTGATCTTTGTCATTTGTAATCATAAAAGTCTAAAATAAATCTCAAAATCCGAGTAATGAAAAGAAAGATGAAAAGAAAGAGCATGTTTCACTAGGAAAAGCAGTTGAAAACATTCAGTTCTGAAAGTGCCTACTAAATCAGCATGCCTACTAGTTTGTATTAGGTTACTTTGAATAGATTAAAAGGTTTGTATTTTCACATTAAGTCAAATTAGCCATGGTATACAGAAAGTATGAGGAAATAAAGCACGATAGTAAGTGAGGTTTGGAAACCATTCATATTTAGAAATGTGAAGCACAGGGTAATAATACTAGAAGTACTTGAAGAATGTTATTCACGTTATTATAAAATCTCTTGTACTGGTGAATTTTTGAATAGGGAGTCATTTTGCATGTAATGCGAACTATCCTACAAACTGGAAAAGATCATAACTATTAAGTAATATTTACCAAATATTTACTAAATATCACTCTGCTGCAAAAATCTAACAATGATAACATAAATAACTATATATAAATTGTATAATTTACTTTCCAAACCAGCTATTGAACAACTACTATGTTCCCGACACTCTACTAGGTGTTTTACAGACATTATTTCTTTGAATCCTCATAATAATCCTCTTGAGATACATCTTATTATCTCTAGTTTACAGATGAGGAAAGTGAGGCTCTGAGCAGTCAATTAACTTGTCTAAAATAATACAACCATTAAATAATAGAACCAAATGTAACCCAAATCTGTTCTAAAACTCCTGTGCTTTCTATTCTACTGTTTCTGCATTTTTGATGTAGATATAACACTAAGTAATATTCAGCAAATTTAATTTTTAAATACAATACTTGATAGGCAGGTAATATTTTCCAGTGATACAATATGAAATGTATGATAACAGCAATAAAAATGGAAAAGACATCTGATAAACTTCTCAACGCATTCTTAAATTTTTAAAACAGAAGAGTGTTTGTCCACCATGCTAAAGCATATGTTTCAAACCAAGTATAATCAATCTTACAGTGAACCAAAAAATGCTTCACTTTAAAATCAGAAACAAATTAAAATAGCTATCCCAATTCATCATTTTTTTCCCTTTCTCACTTTTATTTCAACTGAAACATAATTAATAATACATATTTGTGGGGTACAGCATTGACTATCAGTACCTGTGTAGAGTACGTGATGATCAAATCAGGATCATTAGCATATTTATCACTCTAATACGTAATCATTCTTTATGTTCATTAACCAATTTCTCACTGACCCCCTCCTTTCGCATCTCTAGAAGTCACAGCTCTGTTCTCTCCTTCTGAAAGTTCAACATATTATTGGGATCTCTCTTTTTTTCCCTTCTTCCCCCGTTCCTCTTAAGCATTATTCTGTGAGTTCTAGCCAAAGCAATAATCCATAAATATAGGGTATAAAAATGAGAATATTGTCACAATATTCATTTTGGCAGAAGGTAAATAAAATGCCTTGTAAGGTGAAATCCCTTCTAGTGGCATCAAAAGCCATTACGAGAACTAAGTCCAGTAAACTGGATGATTACAAGATAAATATACAAAAATGAAGAGCTTTCTTGCATGCCAACTATAAATAGAAAATATAATGAAAAAGATCCTACTTATGTATTATATAAATAAGAAATGTATGTGGTCTCAAGGAAGAAAATTATATCTAAAAACATTTATAAATACCCAAACAATGGAGAACCATGCCATTTCTTGGATGAAAGAATTACATGTCTTAAAAATGTTGATTTTTCTCCATTTACAGGTATTGTATAACTCCAATCATACTAGCCATATGTGATTTTATTTTTTTTTTAGCATGACCAAATTATGTATTCTATCATACATTAAGAAAAAAACAAAATGGAAAATTTAAATATTTTAAAGAAAAATAATGAAAAAGACCATCTTTACTAAAAATCAAAACATAATAAAAAGCTTCAGTCATTAAAATAGTGCATACTGAATCAAGAAATACAAAGGCATCAAGGTCTGTACATATAAATTCAAATATTCTATTTAAAGACTCATAAGTGATCAAGAAAGCATCAATAGACAGTGGAATTTTTGTTATCAAATACTAAAAAGTGAGAGAAAAGTGACTAGCATTAGACAACTAGTAAAAATTTGAAAATATTTCCATTTGTCTTCTCGCCACATAACAAAAACAAACTTAAAGCGGGCTGGGGAGTTAGATATTCATATGAAAACCATAAAAATTATTTTGAAAAGTTAATTTTCTCAAGCATTTGAAGGGTTAAAAAACCTTCTAAATCTATAAGTTATAAAATAATCATAGTGAGAATGACAAGCAGATTTGATAGTGTAAGTAAATTGAGAGTTCTGGGTGTTATTCAAAATAATCAAAATCAAAATGTAAAGACATTTTTTATGACAGACCAAGGAATAATGTTTTTATTATAATGCCTTTATCATATAAATGGGGAAAAAGTTAATGAAGCTGAAGAACACAGATGGCTCACCAAAGAAATGCAGTAAACTCATAGGCATAAGGGAAAAAATGTTCAACCTCACAAACATGGAGTGTAAATTCAGTGAGAAACCATTTCCTTAATCAGATTAGCAGTGACTTGTTTTTAATGTTAATAACCAATGCTGGCAAATGTGGAATGAAGTAGGAAATTTTATACATTACCACTTAGAGTATAAATTGGTATAATATTTCCTTGACTTTTATTTTTTCCAACTTTATGGATGTAAAATTGAAAAAATTGTATATGTTCAGGGTGTACCATATGATGATTTGATATATGTATACATTGTGAAATGATTACCACAATCAAATTAATTAACACATTCATCACCACACATAGTAGCCATTTGGTGTGTGCATGTGTGTAGTGAAGACATTTAAGATCTACTCTCAACCAATTTCAAGAATACAATACATTATTATTAACTGTAGTCATGTGCATATTAGATCCCCAGAACTTATTCATCTTATAACTGAAAGTTTATATCCTTTGACCTACATCTCCACATATTGGTGAGATCATACAGTTTTTGTCTTTAGGTGTCTGGCTTATTTCACGTAGTGTAATGTGCCTCAGTTTCATTTATGTTATCGTAAATGGCAGGATTTTCTTCTTTTTTATGCTTGACAGTATTCCATTGTGTGTGGTAGACATATACATATACCACATTTTCTTTTTCTGTTCATCCATTGGCAGATACTTAAGTTGTTTCCACATCTTGGCTATTGTGAATAATGTTGCAGTGAACATGAGAGTGCAGATATGAAGGCACTTCAAAAAGTTCACTGGAAAATGTAATTAAAAGATAATATGGGGCTGACCCCCTGGCTCACTCGGGAGAGTGCGGCGCTGGGAGCGCTGAGGCCGCGGGTTTGGATCCTATATAGGAATGGCCGGTGCACTCACTGGCTGAGCGTGGTGCGGG